AACTGCAACTGCTTGTAATGTATTTGCTCCTGTCTCGATGTTTTAAGTGCAATAGAATAACTAATCAGGAAAAAATTTTCTTTTTTTAATTGTTAAAAACCACTATCACAGAAAGCGTTAAGCCAAAGGCTAATTGATGGGTATCATAAATTGCTGGAAATTTTAATGGATTACTGAGCTGGGGGACAGGAAGAGAGGGTTACAACGATTTATTTGAAGTTGAGAAAGGTCGACTAATAATTTTGAAAACTTTTACACCTATTTCTGAGGCTGTTTGAGATTTTGGTGAAATTTTTGTTAGGATTCAAATCAGCTATGAATGTTCAGTTTGGCCCAGTATAATTTGGTCGATATCAGTGCTTTCTGTAATATCGGAGTTTTCCTTCTCCATTTCTCTCTATTTTTTCTGTGTAATTTTGCTCAGTGCAATTTGAGCGTTACGGTGTTACAATTTGTGTCTTTAATAGGCTATAATTTATGCTTTTTGTTCAGTCAGGTAAAATTTTAATAATTAATAATTGCAGGAGAAAAACCAAAAATATTGCTTCTGTTTTAGCATCACTTTTTTTTTCTCAAAAAACTTTAAGCGCTATTACAGTAAGGCAAAGATAAGTTTTTTTTCTTTGACAAATAAATTTAAACTTCAGTTATTGGAAAGATTTATCAATGAAATGAAATTCAAAATACAATTATCATTTCAGTTTATCAACTGAAAAAAGTTTTCCTAATTATACAAAATTTTTGACATTTGTATTATTATTAATATTATTTTACTGTTATTATATTATTGTCATTATTACCGCTGTTATTATAATCGTTGTATATTTGCTATTTGCGTAATTTGGTAATGCATAATTATGTTGTTATTATGCCTCAATTTTTATGTGATTCTTTTTGCTGATGTAAAAATGCTACTCCTGACATTTGCACACTGTAAAGTTGTCAAGCCAAAAAAAAAAAACTATTTTCAATTTACAGTTTGTTACTGGATTTTGAAAACAACAAAGCTATCTTATTTTTTTTTTTTTTTTGTCTTCTGGCACAGTTTTAAAAGGTTCTTAAAAGCTTCTAAATTTTCCTTTTTTTTTTTTTTACTGGACTATTTGCTTATTGACTGTTACAGCAAAGCCTGTATCAAATTACTGAATCCATGTGATTTGATTCAAGGCTGGTAAGTCTTAAACGTTCCTTGACAGTTTCTGCAAAATTTTTTTTCAACGTTATTAGGAAAAGGTAAAGTGCGAAAGCTGTTTTTTTATTACGATAACGATTTATTCAAATGTTATGATTGATTAAGTGGAGAACAACTTTCTTTTGGAGAAGAGGAGAAATGGCTCTTTTACAGTGATCGTTTTATATATGTGAAAGCCTGTTCAGTCTACACATATGGCAGTGCTTTTAGTTTTCATGGAACACTTATGCTATATTTGTTAACAAAGAAAAGAAAAACAGAAAAAAAGTTTGCAAAATTTTGCTCAATAGTATGATGTTTGAGGTTAAAAAAAATGAGAAGGAAAACAAAGTAAAAACTGTGACAACGGCAGAAAAATGTCTCATTTTTATTGTTGGGTGATGTCTGTTAGTGAAAAAGCGAAGGAATGCGTCGTTTACTGACCGCGATAGGTGATGATAACTAAAAGTTTGAAAAAATATACTATACTAAACTAAAATATTTTTTGATGCTCTGTGTTTGTTTAAAAAGGCATTGGTTTGGTTTGGCTGGCGGCCTCGCAGCAATACAACTGATAAGACAAATACGTAACCAACAAGTTGAGAGGGGTTTAACAAAAAAAAATATAATAAGCAAAAAACGAAATTTTATGTTATATTTATTCTACTTTAAACTTTTATAACAACGGGGTAAGTAACTAAATTTTCGTCTTCGTTTACAATACAATTGAAAAAATATATCTATCTGTGTGCATTTTAATTGTGCTGATTTGGAATATACCATGAACCTGATTGAAGTCAAATAACACATGTTTTCACAATTGAGATATTGCTTAAAATCTTTATAAAACTGGATGTCCAAATACAGAAGAAAGGTATAAGGTGAGACCGATGGCACATAATAACAGTGGTTATATAGTAATAAAAATAACCAAGACTTTTCTCTTATTCTCTTCAGTTTTTCTTTACTCTTCTTTTTTTGGCAGAACTTCAAGTAAGTCAATTTTTGAGCATTGAAAAATTGCTCGCCGTTGTTATTATCCTTTTCATATCCGAAAACATCAATTTTGGAACAAGGGAAGAATATGGCATTAATGACGAAGCAAAAGAACAAAAATTTCTTGACAGTATATATGTGTATATACTGTCAAGAAATATATATATATATATATTACATGTGTGTTTTATTTCGGTGACTGAATGGTCAATATTTGGGGGATGAATGCACGTTAGTATTACTGCTCAACCCAGTTAAAAAATATTTATTGTTTGATGATGTATCACGAAGACGGAAACCTTTTTTTACAAATATCGTTTTTTTTTCTTCTTTTTGCTTTACTGAAATACTATGATAAACAGCACTAAATGATGACTGTACCTTTGGAAAAAAAATAGGGAAAAAGTATGCATTACTCGTAGGTGGACGGCTATTCGTAATGTTCAAAAATTTTCAGTGTATCAGCAGCATTTTTTAACGTCAATAAAGCAGCTAAAAATACAGTCTCAAAAGTACTTTTGC